AATAATTATTATTATTATTATTTTTCTATTCCATCCAGCATTAAGTGGTATTGTAATGTTGCGGTTAAAATTGTACTATTTTATTATCTCCATCACAGGAGCACAGATTCAGAAGGCAAAGTTTGCTCCAGAACAAAACTGCACCAGAGAGTCCATGAGAGGCTGGATGTTCAGGGGCTTTTCAGGTGGCCATATCAGAAAATAGATGTGCAATTAAATATTTGCCCTGCTTATCCACCCTGGTCACCCCAGGCTCTTCCTCCAGGTTTTCTCCCAAACATCTAACCATATCAACCCACTCTTGACTTCAGTCCCACTCCATGACCTGGACCCAGCCCAAATAAGAAATGCCACAAATGAAAACATTTGTACACATTGACTTGACCATCACTAAGTGATTGTTCTAAAAATGAAAATAGATGAGATAACACCTCCAACTCAGAGACCTAGCCTGTGTGCCTGCATTAAGCCAACTTCTCTCCAGTGTTTCTGTGGATTTGGAGCCCTGCCCAGCAGGAAGCGATGGATTCTGGAGAAAGCTGATCTGCCCCTACATGACGATGCCCCAGGGGAGACTCCATAGGAGTATGGGGCGAGGGGAGGCCACTGACAGAGCGGTGCAGGAATGTTACCAATGTTACCGTCAGTGTCGGAATGGATGACATCAACAAACTGCGCGTCACCGGGATCTAATCTGTCTTGTGGAGGCTTCCCATTGAATAAAGGGCCCGCAGGGTCGAGACCTGGAAGGAAAGCAGAGTTGGCTTAGCCGCCCAACGCCATGAGTCACCTGCAGCGGGGCTTGTGATTGCTCCCCACCAGCAACCTCCAAGGCTGCAGGGCACCCCAGATGGGCAAGCCCTCACGGTCCTTCCTATTTTGTCAGGACGCTTTCCCACCACCCTGCAGCCTTTTCCCACAGTGCAGACGGTGCCCTGGCAGTGCCCCCTTGAGATGCACGCAGGTATCAGTGGGCAGGCCGTGTATAGAGTTTAACACCAACAGTGTACACATGTGGGGAACAAGAAGGGGGGTGATAAACTGGCTCTTCAGGAGGGAAAAGTCCTTTGGCGTGTATATAGGGAGCTCTGGTGGCAAAGTTCGTAGAGTGTTTCACTGCTGAAACCCTCTGGCAGCTTGAATCCCCCAGTTGCTCTGAAGAACAGTGGGCAATCTCCTCCTGCGGGATTTACAGTCTCAGAACGCAGTGGAGGGTCAGCGATGAATGGGTTATGACTCTATGGTGCTGAGTTTGGGGGTTTTGTGCCAAGGAACTGTGCTGCCAACCCGTAGGCACATGGTTAGAATCCATCAGTGGCTCCCCGGGAGAAAGATGGGCAGTCTACTCCTACGTGGTGTGATGGCTCCGTAAACCCACTCGAGGCTCTGCTTGGGTTGGTTCTGAGTCAACATCAACTTAAGGGAGTGGGGAGAAGCAGAGACTATATTTATCTTTATCCTGTGTTTGATGACCCATAAACCTTACAACCCCTCCCCTCTTGTTAATAAAACTCTTATGTCTACTTGGCACTTTACGGTTTCACATTTCACTCTTAAATACCAGCTCATTTGATCCTCGCTGTCTGTGAAGAAGGCAGGATAGCTATTGGTAGTCCCATTTTACAGGTGAACGGACTGAGACACTGGGAGATCAAGGGTTTTTACCAGTGTCATACAGTCCATCTCCAGCTGTTGTGGTCTTGGTTTCACTAAACTGTGTTTAGCAAACTCAGTAGCAAAGGGTGAAATTCACTGGTCAGGTCAGGGTTCAAAGAGGGACGTAGTAAAGGGGAAGTTGATCCTGCAGATTTAATCCATCCCACAGACGCCTGGGCTGATGCTCTGCCCTTGGTCAGTGTTAGCTGGTGATCCTCCCATCACTAGGAAGCAGCTGGAGAGTGCCAGAAGAGAGGCTTTGAGAGCACAAAAGAACTTGAATGGATCAGTTTGCTAAGTACACGCAAGAATTGAAGAACTGGGAAAAAAAATCAGTACTAAACTTGGTTGGTGATTTTATTCTCTTTAAGTTCTCCATTAAGATGCGGAAAAGGAAGACAGTCAACAAGAACATTTTGTTTATCGAAAAAAATAAAACAAAAAACCCCATGGCAATTGTACATCATGGGCCAGTAAAAAGTTTAAAAAAAAAAAAAAAAAAGAAGAAGCTGGAGAAAGAATGAACAACTCCTATGACACTATAACCCCAAAATACAAATTTTTTTTTTCCAAAATACAGAATTTAAAATAAACATTTTTAAAATATTGAAAGTCAGAGGCTCCAAAAGAGATCTATTTGGAATAAAGGAAGCTTGATGATTTATTTTTTTTTTTAACTCTCTAACTATTAATTCAGATGTTACAGCCCGTCCTCTGATGTCATGTCCAACATGAGATCTTTGTCTCAACTTTCCTGGTTGGAATTCATTCCCTCTATATCCCTTTTTTCCCAAAGCTCTTTTACGAATCCCTAGATGGTATAGTAATGTGCTCAGCTGTCAACAGAAAGAGGTTGGAGTCCACCAAGTTGTTGCACCATCGAGTCGAACACAACTCATAGCGACCCTATGAACAATAGATCTAAACCCTGTTGAGAGTTCAAGGACAGCGTTCAGTCTACCAAGGGGCTTCCAAAACACCAGCCATGAGCTGGCTTCAGGTTCTTTGCTTTCTTGGAACACTCTTGTGTTTGTCTCTGGTTCTTTTTTTAAACTTTATTTTATTAATTTTAATGAACGTTTACAGAGATTTTGGATTTCCATTCATTCATTGTTGCAGTGTTTGTCTCTGGTTCTTATCTGTCTTTTTTACTACCCAGCCTCTCCTCTTCTTTGTTCTTCTTTAAATTGAAACTGATGTGGGAGGAACTGGATCGAAACCCACGCACCCCTTCCTACAGGATATTCACAACATGGCATAGGAAATGCAAAATTTGGAAGGAATTTGTTGGGGAAGCCTCTTCCCCCTCACATTAGACAGCACCATTTCTTGCCTAAAAACTTAACAATGAAAATCCCAGTTTACATCAGCAACAGTAGGTCAATCAAAAAGACTATCTACTCACCAGGCAGCACACTACCACTGCCCTGCCACCAAACCTGGAGCCCTGGCTCAACCTGGTATTGCCCCCAGACTCTCTCTAGTGCTCAAGTCATGAGAGTATCGATAGTACACATGGGAGAAATGGAAGGAGCAACAGGACTAGGGAAGCTCCTGGATGTCTGTGGAGGAGCCTCTTGTCCCTTTGCTTCTCCCCTTTCCCTATCCCTATCTTCCCATTTCTTAGGTAGCAGCACCATGTGGGTATCTGCAGTCGAAGTTAGAGAAAGGAGCTTCACTCCCACCATGGCCAACAGAGCGAGACAGTGACTTTTCTGCTGCAGAAATGCAAGGCACAGATTGCACAGATGGCCTCACCTCCAGCAGAGCCCACATGCAGCTCACAGCTTACAGCTTGTGGCTCAGGGAAGTTGAAAGGAGTTGTGAGAAAATAAAAAGGCTGATGGAACCTTGCTGGCTGGCTGACCATCTAAAAGCTCCTTGAGAATCCCCTGATAGGAACCTCATAGCAGGTGTCCAGGGAGGATATTAAGAAAGATAAGTAAGAATGTTGACATGAACTAATAAATACACATCTATAATTATTGCAGCATTGTTTGTAACAAAGAGTTGGAAACAACCCAAGTATCCATCAGTGGATGAATCACTAAAGAAACTGTGGTATATAATGGTGCACCACTGAAAAATGTTCAAGAATCCATGAAAGGTTGATGAATCGTGAACAAATTATACCAGGGGACATAAGCCAGTCACAAAAAGAAATCCTGGTATAAGACCACTATTATAAAAGCATGGAGAAAGGTTTACATACAGACAAAATCAATCTTGGAGAGATAACAGGAATGGAAAGGGAGGGAAAAGAGAATAAAAACTAATAAATAGATATGTTGGGTGAAGGGAATGGCAATACAGAAAAAGTGGGTTGATCATAGATTGTAACTAATTATTTTAATCAATAGTAATTTATAGGGGTTGGGCTGCGGTGGTAGTTTAAAAACTGGCTTTTCTAGCTTACTTTTCTGCTGGTCTTTAGCTACCTTAACTGCAGACACATGGTCTTGCAAATCATCAACGGCTGTGTAACTGAGACCCCAGTGACAGCGGTGGTGGAGAGATTGTGGACAGGCTGTGGCATTGTTGTGGACAGACTGTGACAAGTTATAACCTGAAGCTTCTTGCATTTGTGCTTGCCACAGTTAAAGATTTTGCAGAAAAGGGGGAAAAATAGTGATTAATGTTATAAAACAAAATGTCTATAGACTAAGAAAAATCAATATGTAAGAAATATAAAGATTTAAAATTTTGCATATTCACATGCAATAAAATTTTTTAAATTTAAAAAACCCAAAATTATTTATAAACCTTTACACAAAGACAATTTTTTTTAAAGTACTAAAACAAGAGAGAGAAGGTGCAAGATGAGGTGAAAGAGAGCAGGACTCACTTTGTAGGGTCAAGTAAAAGAGTTTTGTTTTATCCCAAGAAGTGGCTGTACACAATTTTTGGAGACATAATTAACAAGATAAATTGCAAACTTAAAAAACAAAACAAAAACAAAAAAAAACAGATAAGAAACCAGCTACAGTTTTGAGCTGACCTTAGAAGAAACTGAAGCCTGGAAAATAATCCTGCCCTTTGGGTCTTACCACCCCGCCCATTGAAGAAATACCCTTTGCCTCTTGATGGACTTTGCCAATCCCTAGAGATTAGAGGTGGTGGGGAGACCTGGTCACCAAACTAAAGCTATACAGTTTTACCTGCACTTGAAAGTTTCCCACAGAAAATCCATTCCTAGAATGCATTTGACCTTGAAACTGCTTGGGCTTCCAAAGGCAAGGACACACTGATCAGAGAATATACCAAGGGGTAGATTCTCATGGGAGACTTTCAGCTGCAGGTGAAAATAGAAAAGGAGTCATAAACATAATGTCAGAAACTGTTAGCAGAGACCCAGGCACATGTGCTGCATTCGACTTGGCTAATGTGTGCTCTAGCGTCTTCCTACTCCCGTTTGCTCCAGACTAATTTGTCTTCACTCAGGAGGGGCAGCAATGGACATTCTTGGTACTGTGCACAGCCCTGTGGTGTGATAGGTTTGCTAAGGATTTGACTCTTTTTTTCTTTCCCTATACCTATTGGTTGGTCTACATTGATAATACCATGTTAATAGGGAAAGATGAGCTATAAACCCCTGAAAATTTCAGGGACCACGAAGGTTGGTAAAACAACCAAGGATCAGATGGTGGCATAAACCTGTGTGTTGTCTGAAACTATAACAGGATACAAGTTTACCCCAATGTCGATTACTAAAAGACATACAGGCCTCTGAAGATCTTTCTAGTATAGAGCATATATCTCCTTTCTCACAGTGCCTAAGACTACTGTACAGACTAATTTAAAAAAATGTCTCTGGAAACTAAGTCAAGGAAGAACAGGTAGCTCTTGGGAAAGTGAAAGCATCGGTTATACAAGTGGAAATACTGGATATGATATGGGAAGGGTTCCATAGCAAGATGACCACCCGCTCCCCAGCACAGGCCAGCCAGCATGCTGCCAGAGACACCTCCTCTCTCTGCTAAAGAAGAAGTCCCATGGCCAGGAGAGGCCTGGTACACAGGTGGCCCTGCCCAGCACGTGTGAAATTGACTCAGGCCAACGTAGTCAACAGGTTGAGCTAAAAGCTGTG